ATTTACTAATTCAAGTGGAGCCAGGAGGGAGAGAAAAAGGAGCAGAGCAAAACCCAGCATGTGTGAAAATCTACAAGCATTAGATAGCTAAACAAACCCCAAGTCCCTCAGTGTTGCAGTAAGGTCAAAACCTTTCAGCATTGTACCAGTGTGTCAAAATATGTCAACAAACCATCATACTGCAAGAAGAAGAATGACCTTTCAGTTCTTTATGTTTGGGCTGCCAGTGAAGCTTTGGATACTGGGTATGCATGAACAGTTTTCCTAGCCACTTGACAAATGCAACTCCCAAGGTTTCCTCCAAGTCAAGCTGTTATACCACTGGCTTTCAACTCACCAGTACAACTTTTTAAACCATTTGCAATTGGAGAATATTGATCTTGTTATAGAACAGACATCCATAAACCCACAGCATAACTCCCTCTTCCCCTACCACCTACAATCAGACAACAATTATTACTTAAACAGTCTTCACAGTAACATGTCAAACAATTTTAAACAGCTGAACAGAAAAAAATGTATATTGTTCTGATGTTCTGATTCAACTTTTGCTCACATACGATTCATCCTTATAGTCAACTGCAAATGAATCTGAACAGAACACTCTTCTCAAAAAACCCTAAGAACACATCAGCTGTGTTTGTGACTGAAATACAGTCCTTTGCATTATTTCTGTTTGCATTTATCTGAAATAAATACCTTTTTTAATCTACAGGCCTCTATGATAATTTTACTATGACTTAGTTTTAAACTGAAGTCTCAAGATCAGACATAATGCATTAATTAACAACACATTTAATCATGAATTTAGGCTTCCAACAAATGTGGTTACTATTTTAAAATTACTTATGGGAAACTTGCTTTTATTTATTCTTTCAAAAAAGCAGAAGCACAGGACTAACAACATTTAGAATACAAGCAAATGGATGAAGGAATTTAGCACAGGGATGACTTACCATTCTTATTCAAAGAGAAGATGAAATGCTTCTCTCTCACTATGTGAAATTACCTTAAGATCAGTGTCAAATATGACATTTTCTTACTGTCTTCCTCACATACAGTAAAGTTTCTTTAGCTAATAACGGCATCAAGCTTTCTCCTGGGACTCTCTAGAAATTACATTCCGGAATGTACATATGCCTTAGCCAGGCTTGCAGAAGATAGAAAATGTAAACTGCTGTATTTGAGTTTATATCTTCTTACAGCAAGTCACTGACAGTGCACCCACTAATTACTATTTGAACCGTGTGTTGCTGATCTCTGTATGCCTCTTAGAAAACAGCAGTCATGCTTACCAGCTCTGACTAACAGACTTTTACAGCAAGGACTCCAATTTTTAATTTGTCAGAAAAAATTATAAAATTAGATACTATGAAAAAAAAAGAAACAGCAGCATTCATTTAAACCCTAAAATAATTTACAACATGTTCTCAGACCCTGTTTTAAAGCGCAATCTGTGTTACTTCCTGTTCATGCTCTCCAAATTACAAGAAATACACCAACGTAGGCCAGTGAACAATGAAAAGTGTGGTATCTACTACACGTGCACAAAGCAATTATATTTTGCACATGCGGTTGTCTTGTTTACCCAGCGGCAGTGAAAGCTATAGCCGGCTCAGTGGATGCCACCACTTTGAAGAAACAAACATATTGAGGGAAGGGATTCTGTAAGTACCTGAATCATTTTATACTAAGTTTGTTCAGTATATAAAATAGCTTTTCCTGAAACATCACTCTGCAAAATCAGTCTGGGAATATGCAAGACCAAACTTGCCTTTTTCTGTTTCTTTATTATTGAAAATTCTCAATATCTAAACAGTCTCTTAAATTACAACTGTGCAAACCCACTGACAAGGTACACTCTGTACATTTTTAATGTGAAGCTTAATTTGAAGATGAGGTTGCAGTGCAGCACTGCAACTGAAAATTGCTTAACAATACCATTGATGTATGAGCCATAAAAAACCTTGCTAAGCTGTCCCTGCAGAACTCGGGAGTAATAAAAAGGTGTTCTTTTGCACTGAGGTGAACAGACATGGTTGACTGCATCTAGGGAGCTGTTCTGTTAAATAAGAAAGTGCCATTTCTTTCCTGTCAGTACAGACCAATTTAAGACACTCACAGGTTTAGTTAGCACAGAGTACAGGATTTAATGAAATACACACATAGCAGCAAACAAACTACAGCTATGTTCAAAGCTTTCAGTCAGATTATGTGCAGAATTAAAACTTACACCTGTGACAGATGTGGGGAAAAACCTAGAAACTTTTCCAGTCTCACTGCTAGTTTTCAGAGAAACAGTAAAAAACCTGAATGGAAAAGGTCTAAAACATCTCACCTTCATTCCTTTCAAAGTATCTAGACCTGTATTTCTATTCACATCTAACAGGCGATGTTACAGGTCTTCTCTCCAATTTCATTTCGGCTTTAAGATCAACCCTAAACTATCAACTGAGTGTCATGATATCTCTATTGTGAACTGATGCTTCTTCTCCAAATGATTCCCCCTTCACAAGGAGACACAAAGGTGCGGTGAATTGAGTGGGAAGCTGGTTCTCACTTGAGAGATCCTTGCATAGGCTGATTAAATCATACAAAATTGATTCACAGTTTGTGCAGCTACACCTGTGTCTTTTCATATAAATAGTTCCAGAGAGCAATGAAAGTTAACTGTCTAACCTACATGCAACCTAATCTGTCAACAAGTGTTCGTTAACCCAACTGTCATATTAGAAGAAGCTGCAGTAACTCAGAATTCATTTCAGAAGATGTTGTGATACTGTTAGTTCGGCCAAGCAGTACCAAAATTAAAACTAACAGGATTTGTTATTTAAACCTTCCCCGCCCCCCCCTCCCGAAATCTGCCTCATTTCCATAGTTAACCTATCACTAAATTCTGGATTTAGGGAGTAACAAATCTCACTAAGGAGACTTTTAGTTTCCTTTATATGAAAGTAAAGTCACTATGTTTAAGAATCAACAATTTTTGTAGTCATTTTCAATATGAACTGCTGTAACAGAAGACGTGGCAAAATCTCAAACCTACTTCCAAAACAGTCTTATTGATCCACATGTCAATTCAGTCTAGCTTTTGCAACATTAAAGGTACTTGACTAACAGCTCAGTGAGAGATGTTATTCCATTTCTGAAGTTGCAATATTAATTAGTACCTGATAAAATTAAAATGAAGTTAGCTATGTCTTGGTATCCTGATAAAAGCATAAGAGAAGTCTCTTTTGGAAATGTCAGATTCAAATGGTACACACTATTTTCAAATGTTTTACACATTTTACAGCTCAAACCAAAATGTGGATAGTCATTTTGTTCAGCACAAACAAAGACAGAAACTACAACTTCAACTTTGCAATGGCAACTTTACTTTGCAAACAACAAATGGATCAGTGCCTTCATCCTACTTGTCTACTCAACTTTCACCCCATCTCAACTTAGTGAGTATCTTTATGCTCATGTTATCTATTTAAAATTCACTTCTTGGAACTGCTTTTCTCTGATACCATCACAGATCCCTTCAAACGCATCCTTTCTTCTCAGAAAATATTCCAGCCAGTACATCTAATGGGCTCCCCTCAGCCTGAGCTGCTCCATCTTCTCTTATTTACACTGATGTGCAAGTTCAGCACCGTTTGCATCAGCATTTTTCCTGCCATTCTCACTGTTTGCCTAGATATTTTGTATTCTCAAATTTCTTTCTAAGTCTTGTATTCTGGTTATATGTTTCACAAATTCTTTTCTACAAATTCCCTACAGTATCTTCATCCAACAACTTGCAGTCTTCCTGAGGTTCCCATTTACCTCGATTCAAGTTTTCCAAGTCACTGCTTTCTGGTCCTTCTCATGTCAATCAAGAACGTTGCTGCAGAGCATAATTCCGAACTCTGATGATGTTATTCTCAAGATTTGATTTCCCTTTCTCTGCTGCCTCCTATAGAATCTGCTTTTAACGTATTTCCCAAGCTAAGACTAGCTATTTTCACCTTGGCATTTCTCATATTTAACTGAAATACCAACAGTCACCAGACTAGCCTCTGATGCTGGCACATGCTGCCTATTTATTGCATGTTCACACATTTGTGCCGTCTTCTTCGCTATCCCTCAGATTTCATTGATGCTCTCTTGTGAACACTTAGCAGTCTTCTAAATTTATGCTTTTAAAAATCCTTTATTAAAACTTTCATTTACCTCACTAGGGTTCCACCACATACAAAAATGGAACTGAAGATGAAGCATCTTGTTTAGGATTTTTTTTGGAAGAAAAATCCTCCAGTGAGGAGGCTTCTAGTACCATGGAAAGATATATAAATATACACAATAACGACCTTTATAAGAATAAAGCAGAACTATTTTACCCATCTTTAAAAGAAAAGATCTTTATACCAATACCATCAACATGTTCAAAAATTCTGTCTGGCATAACTTATTTCCCTCCTTACGTTCCTGCAAATACTTACTACATTTTTTAGCTTGAAGATAATTGTTATTACTGTTTAAAATGTAGATAATCTAAAAACCCCAACTTTATTTAAAAAAACCAAACAAACAGTGAAACAGTATTGTCCTAGATACAATGACCATGAGCAATAAAGTTCTTTACACACAAAGCCTACTTGCTTCGTGAAGATTTTATAACAAATTTGGCACCTTGCAGGTATTACAAAATGTTACAGCAAAATCTTCCTTCAAAGTCAGGTACTAAAAAACCTCACATACAACTTCTGTAGCAAAGTAACTTATTCTGTCACCTAGCATCATTGTAAAATCACCATATATATCTGCTGCATGTTAACAATTATGATGTGAATTTTTCACAAATATTTCAGCATTTCAATTTGACACACTAATAAATGACATTCAAAATGCCAGATTAGTAACATGTGTTTTGTTCACATGGCTTGAAACAAAAGTCACTAGTGTTTTTTTCCAGTAACTTCTTTTAAAAATGCAGTCCTATTTATCTGTAAGGAAAAATAACAGAAATGTACCTGTTCCAGTAGCTCCAAAACTGGTCCTGCAAGTAGGCTTGGTGGCTACTTTCATCACCGAAGGAGGCTTTGCTTTCAATCCAGTGAATTATGTGTCCTTCAACAGCTAGGGTGACAGAGAAAATAAAACGAACTCTGAAAATCAAACTCAACAGCCTGCAAGAATGTGTTTGGGAATATCCTATCAAGCCTCCAATCTACCACATAATTCATGGTAACTCATATGCAACAGAGTTACATATTTGTAAAAATATCTTTCAAATATGCATATAGGACATTTTTTTAAAAAAGTACCAGAAAATATTTTAATGGATAATTACATCAAATTCATTTTATTACACCCTGTTCTAGGTATTTGCATTTACTCTAACACAAACAGAATGTAAAGAAAAAGAGACTAGACTAAGGTGCAATTGCATCGTACTTTCACCCTTCATTTGCTGGAAAGGAGTTGTCAGGTAAGGATTTGAAAACTTCTGGTGAATAACAAGAACAGTTAGCTAAGCTGCTAAAACCAGAAACTTCTCACCAATCCCGAGTGGAAGGTGTGAGAATGGCAAGAAAGTTTATCATAGATATATATCTGCTTCCTTACTTTTGCAAAATCAGTAATGCTTCACCACAAAGAAGTTAGGAATAAGAAGGCTTATGTGAACAAACGTGATTCTGAATTTCTGTTTCTTTCAATGCTGTGGGATTTGCTTTGGTTCATGTCTTTCCTCATTTCTTGCAGGAGTGAATTTCTAATATTAATAAAATTATCTTTTTTTGGTAAAAGGAAAGTCCTCTCTGAAGCTGACAACCTAATTTTGCAGGAGAAATCATGAGAATCACTCTAAAAGATCATTCTTTCTCCAGAAAGGTAATGTGGGGTATCATTATTGAGGTCTTTAAAAATGTTTCCTTTATTTTGAGTTCCCTATGATATCCACAGTCATGATGTCTTAGCCTAAGTTTGACCCAGGATCAGGTACTCAAAGGGCATGCAGACCCAGAAACACAATACAGAAAGATTAGAAGAGGCTATGGCAGCATGATTGACTACAGAATGTAATATTACTCAGGAAATCTGGGTAAATAACTCATGAAGTCACCACACTAAGCTCTATATGCTACCACTACCCTGCTATCAGTAATCAAGTTAATTTATCACAGAATCATAGAACGGCTTGGGTTGGAAGGGACCTTTAAAGGTCACCTAGTCCAACCCCCCCTGGCTGTAGGCAGGGACATCTTCAACTAGATCACGTTGCTCAGAGCCCCGTCCAAACTGACCCTGAATGTTTCCAGGGATGGGGCATCTACCACCTCTCTGGGCAACCTGTTCCAGCGTTTCACCACCCTCATTGTAAAAAATTTCTTCCTTATATCTAGTCTAAATCTATCCTCTTTTAGTTTAAAACCATTCCCCCTTGTCCTATCGCAACAGGCCCTGATAAAAAGTTTGCTGCCATCTTTCTTATAGGCCCCCTTTAAGTATTGAAAAGCCTATATTGTGTAGGCCTATACTACCTCATCCCTCGCCCATCCCCAACACCTTTAGACCCCATGAGATAAAATAGCTGAGGCATAAACTGTGTAGTCAGTTGAGAAGCAATTTCTAAGAAACATTTGCCTTTCCTAGCTATGTACTGAGTCATGAAGAAGAGAATGCAAGGACTGCCATACACCAGTTCAGATTGGACAGCAGGTAGAAAATTATTTCCTGCCAATCTCAAGTGACTGAAATAATTTGAAGAAAGTAATGCATTACCACTATTTGGACTTTGAGAGACAAATCCATCCAAACAAATTAATGGCTATTTTTAACCTTCTTTCTGACAGGGTAATATTACAAACGCAGGAATTCTTTTGGGTGTTTCCCAGTTTCCCTTCTCAAGCATTAAAAAAATTAGCTCCATCTAGTTGCTTTTCTAGTTTCCATTTAATCAGGCTCCTGAATAGCTGGGATATAATCTCACCTGTTTCTAATGTAAAAATGAGTATCTTAATACCAAGTATGTATTGTGTATATTGTAGTCCACACTATTGGGGAATCTTATCAATGTACGTAACTATCGGAAGGGCAGGTGTTAAGAAGAGGGAGCCAGGCTCTTTTCAGTGGTGCCCAGTGACAGGACCAGAGGCAATGGGCACAAACTGAAACATGAAAAGGTCCATCTGAACATCAGTAACCCCTTTTTTACTGTGAGGGTGACTGAGCACTGGCACAGGTTGCCCAGAGAGGTTGTGGAGTCTCCATCCTTGGAGATATTCAAAAGCCATCTGGACATAGTCCTGGGCAACGAGCTCCAGGTGACCCTGCTTGAGCAGATGACCATCAGAAGTCCCTTCCAGCATCAGCCATTCTGTGATTCTGTAATTCCACAATCGTCCCTGATAACTTTAGACCTGATAAAAAACAACTGTTCCCTCACGCCCAAGGTATGGAAGTGAAGGAGTAGAAATTAATTAAAAACTCTCCAAGTGTCACTTGACAAGGGTGAATTGCGGATCATTAGGATGCCAAATCTCACTGTTTCAAATATGGAGTGGTTCAGTTACAAAGGTATTTTTTATTTTGAACCTATAACCTCTTATTAACATCACTACCATTTTTCTTTTTTAGAAACATGATTAAGAATACAAACCTAATTGAGCTAAGGAAAGTCTTTAAAAACTTTTCAGAAGACTCATATACATAGTTGTTTATCTATTGGATAACAGATTATTGTGCTGAAAGATGGTATCTCAAGCACTTCTGAGCAGTGAGACATTTTATAGTACACACTCAATTCCTTATACCAGTGTACAAATCAGTTATCTCAGTAGGAACTCCAACTGTTGTCAATATGAAGAACAAAAAGCTAGTCACGTATATGACTTTCACATAGTGCTTTCAGCCTTCTTATTTTCTCTGATAGACACAACAGTAGGCATCTGCACAGACAGGTGCTGCGTTCTGTGGAAGCGAAGCAGAAGTCTTTTGGCATGAAAGTCAATTTACAAAAAGTGATTAATAATCCTTCACACTTGGACAACATGGATGTTTTTTCTTCCACGGCCCAGCCACTGGCTCATCTGATTACCCTCTTACATGGCCTCAAGACTAGAAAATGTAGATGAAATTTGACATGACCTTTATACCTACTTTTATTCCTTCTTGCTATGCAGGCTTTTAAAAAACAATAGAGAACTGCAGAGTTGTATTTAGATGCAAAGTGATGGCAAAAGAATAACTGCACAATGACAAACCTTTATGCAATGACTTATAGGTGTAATGGTAATACTCTTAAGACTGCTTTGAACTGATTGGGTCTAGAAGTTTAAGACAATTATAGGTATTTCAGAGTTCAGTTCATAAAGACAGTGGGCAAAGCAGGTTCAAGGGACCAGGGATTTGGGGGTTCTTATTGTTGCTTGTTTTTCTCTTTTTCTTTTTGTGATAATGAGACAAAAACATGCAGACACCAAAGAGGAAACACTGGGTAATACTACTTATGATCAAACCTCTCTGACCAAAACTAGAAGTTCTTAAAATTATTGGGTAACTGCTGAAAAAAGAGACTAATTTGTAGTATCCTATAACATACATATACTTTGTAGCCATAATGTTTTAGCATGAACACTTCTACACAAAATAAAATAATAAAAATTCTTTTAAAAGACTTACCTACTGGCACTTCTAAAATAAAGTCTGGTGTTTTGTCATAACCCTTTGCACGAAGCTGATCTTCAGCTATACATAGAGAATAAGAACTATTGTTTATAAAACTATTCTATGAAGCAGACAGCAGTATAATTAATTTCATTTTAAATAAGAGTGCAAGAATTACTAATGCAGTCATACATATCTTTCTTACGCATGCAATGCTGTGTCAGATTAAATGAACCTTCGTAGAAAATCTGAAGCATGGATATAAAAATGCTTCTTTGTCATCCCTGCATTTTTATGTCTTCATTATAAACATCATTAATTCAAGCTGTCATATAGTATTTTATAACCCCCAAATATTCAAAATAAAGAGGTATTTCGCTGATTGAAAGAAGAGTCTCCCGACATTACGAAGCTGTTAAGATTAATCCCACCAACACCACAAACGTAGATATACTGTAGCTGCCTTCTTGGTTTTATTTTAATTTTAGCATAAAGTTGTTAAAAAAAGAACAAGAAAATCCTTCTCTTCTAGAAAGTTATTAAAGGAGAGTCAAGCCACAATTTTAGTTTTTCCTTGCATCCGGCATTCTATAGAATTTATCCAATTTTAGAACGTACAAAGATTTAGAAATTCTGTTAACACTAACTATACAACTCTATTGCTTACAAATATTAGAGCTGAATATTTCAAGAAACAATAATAAGGAGTGAGCAAGATAAAACTGCAAAAGACAAAAGATGCTTCCTTTAAAAAAAAAAAAAAAAGCCCAAAGCAAGCCCTTAATATTTTCTAAACTATTGTCCTTGATTTCCGATACCATTACATTGGTATTTCTGAAACACCATTTCTCCATTAGAATTCGGAGTGACCTGGTCATTCAATTCCAGGCATGGCTTTCTGTCTTCACCCAAGCTCAACTAATGGCACTACCTAGTAACAAGTAAGGCTGTGTAGCCCCTTAACACCTACTGGGCTGTTGACATTGTCATGCATCCCATTCGCCTTTCTACATCACCTTTGATTAAAATTAATGGTCCATTCTCACTGTTGGGTAGCTTATTTCCAATCCATTTATCAGGTTAGGACAGTAGTTTCATGGCCAACGTTCAGAACTCAGTTTTAGAATACTTTGTGCATATCCTGAAAGGTCAGCAATTTGAGTCCAAGTAACATTTTGATGACAAGAAAAACATATACTCTTAGAAATCAAAATATTTTAAAAGTGCCTAAAGCAAACTTCCCTCCTCTTTCTCATTGAAGAATATAACTCAAGTTTTTTTTTTATACAGGGAACTAATACTGAAAGTGGGACAGAAGTAAATTTGGAAAGTTGTACATTCACTTAAGTGTAAACTGCAATAGCTGATTATTCTTTTTGATAGCTGTAGTACTTCTTTTGAAATTTTATTATTTCTTCACTGTAAGCACACTATATTGTAAATACAAGTCTTTGCAGTGCAACACTTCATTATATCACCCAATCAGCTATTAAACTTTTCTAGGATTTGCAGACAGACTTGGTTGTTGGCTATTTTTTCAAAGATTGTCAGGTATACGGATAAAAGATTTTTAGATTAGCAAGGTTCTGATTTAACAGAACCTATGAATAGAGAGTTTTATGCCATAACATAAAAATGAATTTATGTTCTAAGTAATCTCTTAATCTTGATAAAAATAAAGAATAATCCAGTTTTATCCAACTCTATCTAACTGTAACCTGCTCTTAATTGTTTAAAACAGTCTAGAAAAGACAACAGGATGTCCCAGCTGAAACTTCCATTATTTAAGAACGCACAAATGACAATAAAAGTTCAGTCTTTTCTACCACATCTAACAAATGCTAGTATCACAAATTCAGGGAAATGTACCTTAAAAAACCCCACTGAAAAACAAGACAGATGTGAAAACATTTCCTGATGGGTCAACTTGGCAGGTCTCTGAACTGGAGTTTGCATCAGCATTACTTTTAGTATTCTTCAGCAGACTCTTTTTTCAATGATTTCCAATTACTTTTAAAATCATTTGACATTGATGCATAGCTTGAAAAAGAACATGTTTTTTGTTTTAAATCTGTTTTTGAATGTTTTCACTTGGTTTCTCCTAACATTTTGTATTATGATAAACACTGAAAAATATGTTAAAAAACACATTTATTATTGATGTGAATTGTCTATCATGTGCAGGAGCATAATTATATATTACTCTTTCCTCAGGTATTTTGAAGCTTTATAATTTTGGGGAAAAAAAAGAAGAAAAATAATTACAGAAACTCCTCACAGTCACCATAAACTTTTTTTTTTTAAAATCAAAACCCCACCAAAGAAAAGAAGTTCTAGCTTTTCAGCTCAGGTATGTTTCAGAGGTAGCATTCTGCGCCATAAAAAAATCTTTTAGCTCTTGCATGTATGAAGGGAACAATGTAACAACTGCTTGAAAGCCAGCCCATAGCAGCTTTGACAGTTACATTTATGCATCCTCAGATTTGAAAATTACATTGAAACAGCCCTAACAAGTAGCTATTCTACAGATTCCCCATTAATTTAGATTTCCAACAAAACTGGAGCTTCATCTTTACCATAACTTCACACTCAATCATAACCATTTAACACCTCATTGTTCTTATACTAGCCTCTGGATATAACAAAGAAACCAAACATTCTTCTGTTGGTGCATGAATGAGCAGCAACTGCAAATTTAAGATTACAGCAGAAAACACCAATCAGATTTCATGATTTATATCCAGGTTACTACTGAGGGACATCATGGTGGGAACCAAAGGAGGATAAGATTCCAGACAAAGGTCAGTACCTTTCCATTATAGCTAAAAGCTTTCCTAATATATTCATGGCAAACGTATAAAAAAATAAAGATCCTATCTATACAGAACCTAGAAATTCCTGGCGTTTCAGTACGGCAAGTGAAGCTGTTAGCCTGTTTTGAGAGAATGCTTCCATTGATCACTTTAATCTCAGGCAAAGTGATGAAGACTTGAGAGCTGTGTTTTGGCTGAAGAGATAATGTGCTGGGCTTCTCACGAACAGTAGATTAATAAAATGCAAAATCCATTAGTTTGTACAGGTTTCCAATCAATTTCTGGGTGAATCTGAAGGCGCTACTTCTGATCTGCAGGCTTTGAAAGCTAACTGCTCTAGAAACAGACAAATTACGTCCCAGACCTGAAAAGCTGTTTCATGCTCCAAGACTATACTGGGGCAATTCATATTCACTGTGTCCTTTGTGTTTTCTTCTCCTGTAATAGACTCTCTGTTGCCCAGGTGAACATAGCTGATACAAAAAAGTTACTAGAATATGAAGAATAGTAGACTGGAATAGTACACTAACATGGGAACTGCAAGAATTCTGTTTCTTTAATACATGTTAAAAAGTAATGAAATTGTGAATACAGCAATCTAAGTCATAAGCCATCTTCACAACTGGAATGCAGTCTTACTCATAGACTAACAAAGCCTGAATTTGTTGACCTATAGGAAGTACTGTCATCTCTTCTGTTTTCCTGAAGTTTTCTTCAAGCAGCTTTGGAACTAAATTTTTCAGAAAGGAACAATTTTACTGCAAGGGGTTCAGTAGGGTTCATCTTGCAGATACTTAGGAAAAGCTTTTTTTTTTTTTAAAAAAAAATCACACCTAGAACCTTAGAGACACATGCAATGCACAGAAATAATAAATACAACCACTTAACATACCTTAAAACACAACTAAACAATACTTCAGTATAGATAAAATGTAAACAATGAATTAAGCTCTCTCATTTATATCTTTATATTCTAAGGAGTTAACCCATTCTAGATATTTTGATTTGACAGCACAAATTTCTTGGAGCTTATTTCTAAAGACAAAATTGATGCTTATCCAAGGTCATGAAACATTAAAATTTAAGTCTGATTTGTGTACTACACAAGCTTGCACAAGCCAAATAAAATGATAATTGTTGGGTTGAGTATCCATTAGTGAGTTATCTAGTCTATTCCCTTGTATCGTGACAGGATTGATTTCATTACCAGCTTTGATGGATGAGTGTCAAGTCTAGCCTTGAATTTTTCATTGAAGGTGATTCCATAACCTTCCCTGGCAGCTTGTTTTACACTTATTGTTGCTAGAACTGTTCAGTATTTTAACTCAACATCATCTCTGCAATTACAGCTTAAGCCTATTACTTCTACCTCTGCTCTTACAGCCAAGTAGGAAAAACTACCTCCTCACATTTTCACAGTGTCATTTCCAAGTACGTATGCAATAGTTATTCCTGTCTTTTTTTCATTTTTCTCTAAAATAAAAGAGCACACTAACTCTGTTCCTTAATCATACGGACAAATCTTTTAAAAACTTTAATACTCTAATTTCTTAAATTTGTTTAAGGTTTCCAAAATCTTAACCTGAATCTAGCCTTAGGAGAGATCATAGTTTCTGGTAAAACCAGCAAAATTCCCTGATCACACAAATTTAGTACAACACTCAACCATTAACAAAAGACAGCATTTCACTTTGTTACTGTCTCATCACATAAGGAATCCAAGATTTAAGAAGTCATTCTTAAGTTTATTATCACAATAAGAGAAATTATGCTTTGAACTCTAATCATTGTTTTAAAGGCACTCATATATAAGAAACACAGTGCAGGCTGAAAGAAAAAAATGAAAATAACTTCCTAACTAATTAATCCTTAAAATAACTTTCAATATAAGGATTGTGAAAAGACTGCTTGCATTGGTTGGGAGACGGGGCAAAAATTCAGCAGAAACTGCACAGAACGCTAAATGAGTGAATGCTCTAGCAGTTCTTTAATACATAAAGCATTCTGAAGCTAATATTTTTTATGCTTCCTCCTAAGTCTCATAAGGCCTAGATTATGGCTAATATCTCATGACACCAAAAGTAATACTGCAGCAGATATTAAAGCATTTTTTTCAGCTACTTATTCTATAAAATATTAATTGCAAGCCTGTGCATGTGCTGTATGTATAAGGTATTAGGTAACTGAGTTCCTGCTCAGTTCTAAATCAATAAAAGATAACATGTACAGCATCAATCATTTTTTACTCTTCCTTTACTACCTAATACAAAGAGCGTTGAGGCTTATTTTTTTCTTAGGTAAACAGTCACTGAAATCTTTGAAGTTAAGGATTCACTGGCTAGCCTCTACTACAGATTCTTACCTATGAAAGAGAGATTTTTTTCCAAAAGCATTTCTCGCAGCAAGACTTCATGCTCGTGCCCAATAGCGCTGACAGCTTTAGGTTAAGAAATGGAAGATTACTTTGGAAAAGAATCAACTTCAGAAAAACATCATAGGTAAAGTAATTAATGATAAAATTTATTGGCCTTCATATGCATTTCAGAAGTGATCAGTGATTTGAACTCTAAGTTTTGAAATTCCTTACATGGATTTTCAGAGGCATTTAGCACTTTGTGAAAATCAGACTACTGTATCATCAGCATATATTTTATAAAATTAAGACCCATTAGATTGTATTTATTCAGTATAAATAAGGGTAAATTTCAATTTTTGCTTTAATCCCCCCCCCAGGTTAAAAGAAAGTGTGAGCTTAAAACGTGTTGTTGAATACCTTTTAAGTTGCTCTTTACTGACTGGTGGATCAATTCTCTAATTCAGCAAACAATGAAATAAACTGTCTTTTTCCTTATATTCTGAAATTGATAGGCACTACATCCATCTGAAACATCTTACTGTAACAAAACATCCTTTAAATTGATTTTTCAGAAGCATGAACTAATGTCAGGGAAGGATGAAATAATATTTTATAGTGAAGTCCTTTTCACTTCACTGACGGCCTGTTGATCTAATCTGCTATTCTTAGCAATATGTAAAAAAGTCACCACATCAAATATTTTTAAAGTAACCTCCTGGAGGTCAAAGTTCTATTCTGGAAGCTTTTAAGAAGAATCTTATGGAACAACATGATAAAGGGCCTTACATTAAAAACAGTTAAGTTCCTAATTCTGTTTAGAATAACTTCTGAAAACTTTAACTACAGATCACCTTATTATTAGAGTTAATTACTTAATTTATATCAACACTTTATGCTGAAGAGCAAAAAAACTAATTGTACGGAATAATTTCATATATATATATATACAGTTTTTATCAATTGAAACTATGTATTATGTTAAACACTACTAGCAGTTACAGAACAAAAGGGGCAAATGAAGAACAGCAAAAATGTAAGAAAAATACTGCAAACAGAATTTATAATGCGCCATAAGCAGAAACACTTAGACTTAGTCTATAATAATACCTGTTATTGATGTATGGCAATGACCATGGGGCAAAACTTGTAAATAACCTCACAATCCATTTTCTACTCATGCAATCTAGCAGCCTAGTTTCCCGTAAGCATCTGAACTATTACTGAAAAATAGCCTCTTGGCATTTACAAAGAGGTTGACTTCATACTTTAGTCCATGCATATACAATTAGATAGTTATATTTAAAATCAATATGCAATCCTTCAGAAGACATTATGCTTTTAAAACCTTAACTTTAAATTGATTTTTAACTGTTTTATGCACCTCAAAATTAACATCTAATTCAGCAACATACTTGCAGATAATGCACTCGCACAGCTTAGTATTAAACTTTTCTGTACCAAAATGGAATTGAAAAACTCCTCATTATTCTCATTGATGTCACTGCGTGTTCAATAACTTCACTTGAACCAGATTCTGAAGAGGATAGAAAAGACCTTTTTAAACCACAGTTAAGTTATTCTTAAAAACTGTTCATAATTCTACATATGCGTTATTATTACTTTTAAACATGACACTTTCAAAAGACTATAGCCTGCTTGTTCATCAACAAAATATTAATCTTAAAATTCTGGATATGAAAATTAGTGATCAACAACCTTTTAAAAAGTGTAACTTATTAGATTAATCCACTTTCAGAGAGCTGTGTTTAATGTTGAAGATAGTCTCTATGAATACTTAAAATTATGATTAAAACCACAAAATACAAATACAATTAGAACTCTGTCCTGCTGCCGTTAAAGTTAATGGGAGCAGGGCTGAGCCTGTAGTAGACACCAGGCAAGTATTTCTAGTGGAAAGAACATATTTTTAAGGGGTGACCACCACATGTATCACAAGTACAAGAAGTAGTGTTTTTCATGCATAACTAAACATCACTGTAGCTTTCCTATCCTGCACTATTTTCACTGAAAGTACAGTGAAATCCAGATCTTTCCCCAAACTGCATGCAGAGATTTATGCAAGGATTCTCTAGGGCTTGGGAGGGAATTGCTTTGCTAGCCTGCTCAGTGATAGCAGGCCATGATTTTTATATTGTTCCATTGATAGCAGACTGAAACAGAAGAGCTACTCATTCAGGACTTTATTAAAACAGATTTGGGGTCACAGTGATCATTCCTAACAAATTATAATCTTAGTCTGGAATACTCAGTACTGTGTGGAGTTCCCCCAGTATCCTCACTGGATACTGATGATCTCAAATTAACCAGTTCAACACTACAAAAGCCCAAATCCCTAAAAATTCAAGCTACATAGGGTTTTTTCTACAGCTAGCCTCATTTCCTTTAAGAAGAAGTAAAAGAACTGCACTGGAATGTCAGATACGAGTTTAAAAATACTAATCGGTCAATCACACCTGAATCGCACTTGAAAACATTCCAATTAAAACTCATATTCATAACAAAGCAATGCCATAATGTTGAACACTAACTATGCAACTTATTAATTTAATCACAGAATAGTTGAGATTGGAAGGTAGAGATCATCTAGTCCAACTCCACTGCTCAAAGCATGGTCAACTAGTCTTAATAGAAAACCAGACATGCATTTCAACTAATCAAAACCAAAGATGTTCAATCAGGCATATGAACGTGTAGCCACCAAAGTGACAACTTCCCCTGGTCCATCTGATTTTTGTTAAACAGTGTAAGAGAAAGCTCTGCAGTGACCCTCTAGCTGATTGAATGTAAAACAGAGGAGTATGAAACGTGTTTTGTGAAGCAGAACTTTATGTCAGGTTAAAGCTAGACACATCTCTTCCACACAGTCTAAGCTCGTCAATTGTGCACCTAAAATTTTATGGGAAAGGATACTGTTTGATGCAGTCCACCAGTGGTCCATAACAACAGTCATTCACAGTACACTGCAGACAAATAAGAGAAGTAGTATAGTGATGGGCAACTACAAAACCATTATAGTTAAACAGTATCTTAAAAACAGTAATTACTTTTCTACAAAAAGGCTATCAGATGCTGTTCAGATTTAATCACAGAAAACAAAAACTGCATGCTTTTATTCACTATAAAAGCAAGCTATTAAAAAGTGAAATGCTCCCCTCACAAATATTGCATTGCCATTTATGGTGCACCCTGACCTCACTGATAGTTTACGATGACAGTAATTAAATGAGGTTTAAAATCTTGTACTCTGCTAGGCAGATAACAGCATTGCCACAGGAAAAAAAAGAAGATAAAAAAAGAAAAAAAGACAACTGTGATTAATACCTGATAGACTTGATTTGCTAGAACTCCATCTGGAATCTGAGAAGGGTCCCGTAGCATACTATTTATAAAAGTTTTGGAGGCTAGAGAAATAAAGAATAAAAACATACAAAAAACCTGTTAGCTCATTTATCCACTTGGCAGGAAGAGAGACATACTTTTATAAGGAAAACATTGATGATGTTGATAATTTTGAAAATTATCCAACCAGCGACTACAAACCTATACATTTGTAGCTACTTACCCATTCTGATATGATTAACTCTAAAAGTCTTCAAACACCAAAGGATTTTATTAGCGCAGGGTGAAAGCAGGCCCTTGTTTACTTATTCAGTTTCACTGGACAGTTTCAGAAGCATCATGCAGCTCCTAAGGAAACTGCTTAGTATAAAGAAAATGTAACTCAAAATAACCTCCATATCCTATGAGAACTTAAGGAAGAAGATATGTAAAAATTCAAAACAGCCTTTAAAAACAATGTTTGGTCTCAACAATCTTAAGCACTTCATAGACTTGATGATTCCAGTTTAGTAGTTTTCAGATTTATTTATTTATTTACTTATTTAGTGTGGACACATTTATTTGTGTTTAAAAGCTGGGAAAAGGCTTTCTGTGCTATTTTCAAATGTATAAATCTAAGACACAAAAGAAATCAGAAGTGAATTTAGGACTATTTATCAGTCTTTTATTCACCGATATTGACACCACAATGAAAAAAATAACATAAATCAGGAGATGCCTTTAGTTTATTTTCAAATATAGTCCTTGCAAGCACTGGCATTGTTTTCTTTCCAGATGCTTAATCTCGGTAGTTGCATATACCAGTTAATTACTAATAGCAGCAGAAAGACTTTATTCTAGAAAAATGCCTTCCAAAAACATCAAACATTTCATTTTACAATTTCTCAGAGAAAAAACAACACTGCCGCACAAGCACAAGCTGCCTCCTTCCTGGAAACAACTGCTGATAGAGTTCAGCTGGTGGTATATTTATACCATTGAATCCTTAAGTGTAGACCAGGCTTGAAACTGGCAAGGTTCCCTGCTTTGCCAAAGATTTCCTGTGACTCCAGGCAAATTCCTTTAACCTGTGTGTGCTTCAGTCACGTAAACAAAGTGAAAAACTACTCTCTTCCTGTTCTTCATCTGTTTTGCCCCAACTCAGGGCCAAAGCTTTGTCATTCTCTTCAGTGATTAAATCGAAAGCCTCAGATGACACTGTGAAAAGGATTCCTGGAACCTGCGACATGAAGGGATCTGCCATATAAGCAGCAATGCTACTACTACTAATGAACGTGTGTAAATGCTCTGCTGAAAGTAAAGGCGATGGTCATTTTAATGTTCTCCCCAAATGTTGTCTCCTAAAAGCATCACATTCAACTGAAAGTAGTATTTTCAAGAAAATATTTGGTTTAGAAAACTATACCCTAATGCAAAGGAATATAAAACCCCCAATCAGTTTAAAGGCTTTGCAAGAGCTACAAAGAATGGCATCATCACAGGCAGGAGCAAAAGTTTGTGCAAATGTTTTTAGAGAGAATGATATACTAAGCCAAAACACTTCCAGACACATCATGTCATATTACATATTTGTATCTTATTCATTACAAGTGAATAGTAAGAATAAATAGGCAATTTACTTTTGTTTTTGCACACTGTTAAAAATGCATTTTGTACGCAGGATAAAAACTTTGAAAATGTGAACCAGAAGGCAGTGTATATATTTACTTTATTAAGACTAAAAATTAAAATAGTAACAATTTTTTAGTAGGTAGGAATAATACACAAGTAACAGTTTGCCAATACAGAGGTTGATAGAATGGTAGAATAATGAAGAGTGTAACTGAGGAAGACTGAGTAGAATTCACTGTTTTGAAGGGCTACTGATTTAAGTATCATGACTTGATTATGAAAAAATTAAGCTATTTTACGACTGATCAAAACCCAACAAACCCACAGATTCACATGAGGGAAATGTTTAACTGGACACTACTTTGAGTAACGAGCTACAGGTGCAAAATAAATTTCCTCTATTTCTGAGACTGTCTACTTCATTTTCTCACAGCAGATATTCTATTCTTTACCAATATCAGAGTGATAATAAATTGACATACTGAATTTTATATTATGCTGATGTCACATTGGTTCTACAAGGTTTTAAATTAAGCCTTTAAAAGAACAGGCATCAAACAAAACCGACTGCTATACTAGTTTTCAATATATTATCTTTCCTTCTTATACAAACATTATCTGCTTACGTAATGTCCTGCAAAATTAAGAAAAACCCTGCATATTGTTAATTTTGTATTACATTTGTTATTTATTAATTTGTTAATTTGGAGCTAAGATAAGGTATCTTCAACTGTAATTCTTTTTTCAGAAAGCCAGTTACTGCAGTGGCAGCATACCAACAGGCTGATTGTGTAAAAACCAAAACGGCATGGAAGTGCCAAGGTTTTCATGTGAACTGTAACACCAGTCAGAAAATAAAGTTTATTAAAACACTATTCTTGCATAGATCTCTTCCTTACTTAATCAAAAGTAAGATGACACTGGTGAATACTAAACAAAAGCAGGTCATCTGCTCTTCTTACTCAAGCTGCTATACTACTTCTGGTTGTGGTCTAACTGGATATCAGTTGAATATAGTAAAGAAAGGCGGGATGTAACACATTTCTTTTAAATGAAGAAATTACTTCCATTTGTATTGCAATAATGCAAACATTAAAGTAATACTTTAATTACATTTTTGCAGACTTTAGCAGAAATAACCATAGCGCACCTAGGAAAATTAAATACATGGAAAAAAAACTTCCGTAAATGTAATCGCATTCAAAGGAGATAAAGAACACCTC